GTTAGATTTGGATTTTACACTTTTTTTTACACGGCTGCGAAGATTATTTCTTGAACCAGTCGGATCACCCGGCTGCCACCAAGTGCTCCTCCTTCTGTTGAGCTGAACGCGACAAATGATAGCATTATTTTTTTTAGCCCGGATGATCCTCAACACCCGGAAGGGGCATAACTTCAGGGTGATAGGTGGCACTGAAAAGAACTTCACATTGCTTGTTCGTATCAAAATGTGTGTCGCACTGAGTGTTCTAATGCTAACACTCATAGGACGCCCAGTTGTTGGGTTCCTCCCTTATTTTGCTTCAATTGCGACCGCCCGCCACCTCATAACACATCACATAGCGGGCAGATTCGCGGAAACTCTTTTCAATTGATAAATTTCTCGATTTTCCCGCTTCAGCCGCACTATGTACCCCCCCCCAACCTAATATTTTACAGAATGGAATTAGCGAATTATATATAGTAGGATGAGTTTGGCGAAAAAAAAAAAAGCGAAACTGTCTAAAACCTGCGAAGAAAAGCCTTCGCTCTCAATGACTCATAAATTCCGGACGAGTTTCCCGAGTTTTCTCCGGACGGTTATTGGCAAGAAATTTTGACAAGAACCACGACGGTATGTACTTACAAATTCATGCAGCACCGCGGTGCTCCATATAGAGCCATTCGCTTCATATTTTACTTCGCAAATGAAACAATACAAGCATCAAGGTACGGTCGTCCATTTGTGGGCGGGCGGCGTGGTGGGCGGCCGAGTCGGTGTGTAGTAGCTGGATAGGGTCCTTATGGGGGTACATTCCTTGGAAAAGGCGCTACGCAGTGCCTGCGTCTAACTGCACTTACATATGCTTACCGTCCACCAATCCATTTCCTCTCGTTACCCACTGTTCCCGCCCTCCGCGCTTGCTTGCTTAAAAGGGAATGACGAAACTTCGATTCGAGCCCTTTTCACAGCAGGTGTGCCTCCCTCCCCTCGTCCGCCTCTTTGGTCCCTATCGACTTCCTTCTTTTCCATTCTCCGGACTTTTTTGGAAACGAAACCGCCTACGTGCAGCACGTTCCATGTGTTTCCCACTCATTTCAAAGCACGAGCGAACTAATTGCCCTGTCCGTTTCCCGGACATTTACTCTCATCCTACTTACTTGAAAACGAGTACGAATTTTCGAACCATAAAAGGGGTCTTGGTTTCTGGGAAAGGTCTTGCCTCTTCTCAGAATGGGCGGGACATATCTCAGTTCATGCGTATTCCGTACATACTGGCCCGTGTGACGGTAGTCGTTGTCGTAATGGATTTATTGAGGCGGGGTGGCCTCGGTGATAGTGGTGGGTCCGAGACGGGGTGGTCTCGGACCGTCAGGTAGTAGAATGCTGACTTAATCTAGGCGTGCCTCTCAATACAGGAGAGGTCACGCATCGAGTATCTAACTATTTACCTATGGGTCATAATCACATGTCTCAAGTTTGCCTATGGCTTACACGTATCAATCAGGCAGTCATAAAAGGGTGCACCGGCAGGTTCTGGTGGCAATCCAGAACACTCCGCGGGGCAAAAAAGGGGGAAGATGACCGGATTAGGATAACAGAGTGAGGCTATATCACAATATCAAGGCAAAAGAAACAGGTATGGGTGACATAGTAGACTCTAATAAAGCTAATGAGAGCCTTCTGAGAAATGTGGGAATATTCTTCCTAGATGGTTCTTGTGGCTCGTAGGCGCTGGTGGAGTTTGGTGGAGGTGGTTGAGGCGGCCATCCTTGGTACGACGGTTGACGATCAGGTGAAATTGTTTCAATTAGTCAATGGAATGATAGTGAAGTCATGATGAACATAGCAGATCATAGGAAAGAAAATAACGAAAGCATTCGATAAGGGTGCTTGAATTAAGACCGAATATAGATTGAAACCAACGAACTAAACAAGTGACCAAACAGAGCATGTGCTACTTATGTCTGGAGGAATCGATCACCTTATAGTGAAACGTGAATAACGCGTATTTCTCGTCATGTATTCGAAACCGAAAAGTAAATGATTATCTCTTGCTGAGTAGGGTTTTATGCACTGATTAGCGGCAAAATTACGCTGAAGTGGATTTTGTTGTCTTGTTTTTGTTCTTCGTTGTGACAACTTTAAGCAATAAATATGGGCCCTTAGTGAAGCTATCCCACCATGAAAAACTGGTTTCGTTGGGGCTTATACGAATTGGGCTGTTTAGTTTCCCTAGCTCATGGGACTTTTCAGTTGGACGAGGCACCAAGTCGAGACGGTTACCCTCACCATTTTTGTTTTGCTCATGTCCACGTGCACAACGAGACATTTTTTCGAAGTTTCGCTTTTTGGTGACGTTGCATAATGTTTCTCAAACCGAACTACAGATGATGTCTTCTGGTCAGGGAATGGTTCTCTAATCCTCTGTGACTGGAGGGAATACGCCACTAAAAATGCCGTACATGGAGGAACTCCTGAGGAGCGGTGTTTTCTCTCCCGCATTTCCCCTGGTTGGTCCATGCCTAGATTTTCCGGCACTTTCTCATATTCGACAGGCGATTTATCGCTTTCTGAAGTCACCGAATTTTGGGTGATCAAGGCCGAAGTCGGACTTCGTTTTTGCCGACGTAGGTCTCCCTCCACACTTTTCCGTAGAAAATAGGTCCAACGTTACTCTTTTGAGATCTAGAAACAGGAATAGCGTTCCAAGTGTTTTTCTGCCCGTCAGTTGAATGGGGTTCTTATTGCGAACTCTGTTTCCACTATTTGGTATTCGATCTCGCGGATCACCGTGGACGATTCTTTCAAGGAAATGGAGTATTTTGATTCTTTTTCAAGCTCATCAACTTCGTCTAAGAACTCTTTACGTTCTTCCCTCGTTTCTAATGTGAGGTACAACCTTTCTAAAGCATCGACTTTGGCTGGCGCGAAAGGGCCCTCTTCTCTCGCTCTTTTAATGTGACTTAGGTGAAGCTTGAACCGTTTGAGGTTAGCAAGCAAATTATCTTGCCTTTCTTCACAGTCTTCTGAATATGAAATATTTTGGCTAAATGCCTCAAAGCTCTCCAGGTCTTCTATCACCAATTCTGAGCACATAGTAAGCCCTTTTTTCAATACGTATAGGGACATGTTCGCTTCTTTTTATGAAGCTTGCTTTTTATGGTTTAAGGGAGCTTGTATGCATCCTAGTTACTACTCACGAATTGAGGCTGTTAGCCGGGTTGGGCCTATATAAGCAATCAAATGGTGTAAATATAGTGAACTCAAGATTGCAAAAAAATAGAATAAGAAAGTGGAATTTTCATTAATACCTGCACTGGGTTTTTCCCGGCCGTTTGCACCAGAAAATGTGACGGTAGTCGTTGTCGTAATGGATTTATTGAGGCGGGGTGGCCTCGGTGATAGTGGTGGGTCCGAGACGGGGGTGGGGTCTCGGACCGTCCAAGGTAGTAGAATGCGCTCACTTACCTAGGCGTGCCTCTGCAATACACGGAAGGTCGGCGCATCGAGTAATCTAACTATTTACCTATGGTCATAGAATCACATGTTGCGAGTTTGCTCTATAGCTTACAACGTATCAATCAGGCGAGTTTGCATAAACAAGGATGCACCGGCAGGTTCTGGTGGCAATCCAGAACAGCCCGTGCCCTACCCATTCCCCCCTTGACCCGCTCTTCCGATTTCCTTTAGCTGAGGCCGAGTTTTCAGACGTACAGACAGGCAGATAGATAGACAGACTGACTGAGACGTTGCCGTTTAGATATGGTAGGATCATTGGTTTTCGGTCTTCTTTCTTGGAGATTGGGGGGGGGGTCGCAGCGAGACCCGCTTTGGGAGGGGATTCGTATCTGGCACTAATACAGCACAACGTCATCACGTGCTCTGATCGCGCGGCACTTTTGAACCACCCCTGCTCCGAGAATATGTTGAACTGACGAAACGGTTGACGAAATACCTCAAACAGTGCGTGGTGACCAAGTTAGAAGCACAAGTAGAGAATTCTGTAGCTATAAACTGTGCAAGATGAGCGCCATCTATTGGAATTTCACCATCATGAAAAACTGAGGCAGAAAAACACTGCTGTCTTGTTACAATGCACTGGCAGATTACGACATGTTGCAGTACACCGCAGTACATCTGAGGAGCAAGGGTACTGTTTCAAAAGCAGACTTCTTCGGGAGCGACACTGTGAAGGAATCGTTCCAGCGCAAATAATATAGATTGCTGCTCTCCTTATCAATAAATTGAGTACTTGGCAGCCATCACTTACAAGACGTGACGAGTCCCATAATAGTTGAACGCCCAAATTCAGAAACAGACGAACCCATGGCTTCAGAACAAATGGTTTTGTTTCTCTGGAAAAAAACCCAAATTTTTCCCATGCTGAAAACCCTGGTCAATTGGTGAGGCACGTATTCCATGCATTTTCGAATTTTCAAATATGCCAGCGCAGAAAGGTGAAAAAGCCCCGTAAGATAGGCAAATCATTAGTTGGGGATTTTGGTGAAGTGTGTGCAAACCCCCCCCCCCTTCTTTTTTTAAACGCAGTACAACCTGAAGGAGTATACGGTAAAAACAAAAAAAACAAAGCGCTCTTCAAGTATATTCATATCAGATAGAAGACTTGCAAGATTCAATACAACGTCAATCTATACAGGCAAAAGATTAGATATCGAAAAGTACAAATGAGGTCATAAAAAAATAGCACACAGTAATAAAAAGAAAGATGGCATATTCCCATGAAACGGTTACGGAATGATAAGGAATTCTAAGGTTATTTGTAGTGCTGAATGTAAAAAAGCGTTCGTACTTCGCGATTCGGCGAGACCCCCGATCACGCGGGCGAATTGTAGGGCGATCAGAGCACTAGCGCACGGTTGGCAACGAACACACGCTTCACGCAGTCGGCGTCAACCAGTCGCTGGCGTTGATTGCTTTGCGCGCGACCAGATCGCGAAGTATGAAGGCACTAAACATTGAAGATCATGTTTTGGAAGAGAGTACAGCTTGTCAACCCGTTAGATTCGTCTCAATTCTGCTTCCTCGACTGGGATGATCTCGATGTTATTCAAGACGTATCCCAGATCAAATCTGCTCAATACAATTACCATATTTGAATTTGTAAACGCCGGGAATGGAACGTCGTACAGATGCAAGTGGGTGCTAATTGATCCGCGTCTCACCGTCAGTTCTCCACTTATCACACGCTGAAATACATATTTACGCCAATCTGAACGTTGCTATGCAGGAAAATGCCTCATAAGCAACTTATAAGCGACTGCAAGTCGTGGGTGTGGGAATATAAAAGGGCATATTCTAGCTATCTTAACACCAAGGAAAAACAGAAGAGAGCGTTCATAATTTGCGTTAGCCTCGCGTCGGTTCATAATTTGCGTTACCAGCGGCGTCTACTAGCGTCTAGAAGGAGTAGTGAAGCATAGGTATCGATCTAGCAAACGCCAGAGAACGCCCACCAGCGCATAGCAGCGTTGTAGCGCGCACCTTCGAATTTGGGCAAAATTGCCCGCGAAAAGCTGGGCACGCTATAGACGCTGGTGTTCGCTGGATCGATATCTACCCATTCCTAGTCGCTTGCGCTCGCTTACGCTTGAAACGCTGGTGGTCACTAACGCGAAGTATGAACGCAGTCCTACGAGCGTCGACGCGTTTGAACCGCCCTCCATTGTTGCTCTTTCAGAATACGGAGAGACTTCGGGGCTGTGGAGCACAGAACGGTAGAATATACAGCCTGGGGGATAAGAAGACGACCCGTGAATCTGCATCTAGTGGTGCTATTACATGCATATTTGAAGTTTGCGGGTGTCATCCATTTTACATAAACGGAATGGAACCAGAAAGCTACTACATCGTGCTTTCAGCGGTATGATCCATTTCTTTATAGAAAGGCCAGTGGCTGGGACATCTGCGTGCTATCACGCACTTTCATCTTTTTGAGTTTCCCACTCTGTCTCATGCACTCATCCAGGAAGTTCAAGTAGCAGCACCTCACAAGATGAACCGTTTGCTTCGCAGATCAGGTATGAGGATATAGGATGAGGATTTTGCTCACGAGCAATTTTGTTCTGGTCAGTTGATTACGCGGTCGCCGAAGGGACGCAGGCGCGGCTGCAGCAGGCGTCGCAGACGCGGCTGCAGCAGCGACCGCGTACGTAGGAACTGTTGGCGGCGATCAGCTGTTTCCGGCCTGGTTTAGTCATTTTCTCCCTACTTTTCACTGTTTTTGGCTGATTATTCAAAGGTTGTTCCTTGTCTTCACGAGGCTATGACTGAATTTCTCTAACGTTTGCCTACAATTAAACAGTTGAACAAATACCTAAAGAAATCACAAAACACTTTATTGCAAAAACAAAAAAGAGTCCACGTCCTCACATACCTCATAAAGACAACAACACAAACTGCCACGAAAAAAATAGAAAATACAGTGAAAATTAGGGAGAAAATGGCTAAATAGGCTGGAAACAGCTGATCGCCGCGGTCGTGACGCGCCGCAGCCGCGTCTGCGACCCTTTGACCGCCTAATCAACTGCCCGGATGACTACTGTTCAGAAGCGAGCGGCTTACTGAATACGATACGGCCCATACAATGATTGCGGAGGCTAGCCGATGTAAGGCCAGTTTTTTTATCCTCTCTGGTGAATCTGTTACCATTCCACCGTCCCCTGAGAGCAGAAGGTTTGGTTTGCCTTTGCGTGAGGGTGATTCGGGTGACCTCCGGCAGGTGTTGTATACAGGCCTCTTGTTACTACATCGCCTCCGCCCCAGTTCTCAAAAAACAATATTCGTACTCATTCTAGGAAAGCTCCACACCTTTAGTAAAAATAGAAGGGGTCATCCGCTCCTTTTTAGGAGAGGAGGGGTGGAGTGCGTGTGGACCGACTTTGCTCAACACAAGGCTTGACTCTGACCACATAAGTTTCGTGTTTATCGGCTCTAGCGCCGGCTCCTATTATGCTGGGTGAATACAGAAGAATAGAAGAGTACAGGACACTTACATTTCTCTTCTTTTGAAGGAGTAGTTAATGGGTCTACTACAAAAAAGTGAATCTACAGGTGAGTGCTGCTTGATGTAGGAGCTTTTGTATCATTTCATTCATTTGTAACTATGCCACTCGCAAATTTTAAATATGAACGCAGTAGCGATACCACATACCGTGTGCGGGTTCACACGTGGGCTTCTTGTGCCTCAAGCTGTATATGCTGCTACCCACTATGTGATCAACCAAATCGGTCGGCTGACAGAGTGGCATTGGAGCGCGGCTGCAATTGTAGAGCGTAGGCGCGCGTGAAAAGTGAGGGAGCGTATAAAAGAACATGGCGAAGGATACAGACGTGAAGCGGGCTCACTGAATACTCCTACTTGAAAAATTTTTGACGCTAAATTTATGCAAGAGTGGCAACCATGGCCTACTTTAAATTCCCATGAGTTTTCACGAAATACAGAATCCGACGTGAGCACATGCAGGGCATGAAAGCGAGCGCGCCCTCCTCACCTTTTGAAAGCATGCAAGCTCTACCACACCACAGATAATCACGAACGAACAGCTGCTGCATAGAGCTGCGTTCATAGTTTGCGATAGCGTCCATTAGTGTTTCGAGCGTCCGGCAGCGTCAGGAGTTGAGTATAAGCATCGATCTAGCGACTGTGCCAGAGTGTGCTAGCGAGTACCAGGGTCCCCCAGCCTCCAAGAGGGGAGACTATGGGAGACGATAGGAGGATAGCAGAGCTGATACTCTCCTATCTCGCCATACTCTACCAGCCGTCTAATGCCCTCGCGCCATACTCTCAACCACCAGTCTGCTACCCACCTATCTTCCCGCACTCTCCTCTCGCGGACGCTGGGAGACGCTTGTGCATGCTGGCACATGCAGATGGACGCTAGATCGATATCTATATTTGCTCCTTGACGCTGTCGGACCCTCGACACGCGAGTGCAAGCTAGAAACGCTAGTGGACTCTGCCGCTAGGTATGAACGCAGCGTAATGCTTTGATCGATATTTTTGCCATAATGCATAGCTGCGCAGCTGTTGTCCCTTCCCCTGCACGGGTCTCAGGATATCTGTCAACCGCGAAGCCTTCCTCCTCTTTTTTCTTCCTTCCTTCTCTCATCCTTCTTCCTTATTTTCCTTCCTCTGAATGCTCGAACAGAAGATGCGATGAGAAAACACCTCTGGACCCTCACAGCGAGAGAGCATCCGGTTGACAGATGCCTTGTATCCCTACAACGCGTTACCATTGCGTCACCGTCGGCCCATTCACAGCAGAAAATCAATCGGGCCCTACATAGCATGCTTTCAGCGAATTCTTCTGTTTCTTTACAAGTATGCCAATGGACACCTAGAAACCCATGAAAGGAATCAACCACCCATAACCTTCAATCGAGGATATGTCTTTTGAACTTACCTGGAGAAATGATTTGAGGCCATTACTGGTGATCATATTCGGAGCATCGATCCAGAATCTAGTAGCAGTGAGGTTTGCAAGAACATCGTCGTCTATTGGGATGATGGAGGATAGTTGAAGAGCAGATATAGAGAAAGATGGTCTCGTTACAATGAACTCTAAACCTTCTGGGGTAAGAGTGTTAAGAAAGCTTCTGTAGCTTTCTTCTATAGAGATGTCGACAGGAGCAATGGTGTGAAAGAATCGAAGAAGCACATCAGACAGGTGGCCGGTTGTCGATGTTTTCTCGATGGTCAACTCGTTTACTCGGCAACCCGCATCTTCTATACAAGATATGATTGTTGACAGAAACTCGCACGTCAAGGGCATCTGCAAATATCCTGTCAATTCTGAAGCAGAGGGAATTTGATGAGTTTGTTCTCTAGAGGCGCGATCCCAACCCGCTTTTGTATGCATATCCATTTTCCTCGAAAATTTCGGTGCCTCGCTGTTGTGAGAGATACTAAGGCAGCGTTCAGACTTCGCGATGAAGCGCGTTGCTACCATTACAACAGTGTTCAAATGCTACGGATGGGAACGCAACCATAGTTGGGTACATATCACTGCCGGCTATTGCTTTCAGAGAATGGTAAAGGAAGGTATGCGTTGCCTAATAGCACAGTATACTACCCTCTTGTTCTTCAGCACACTCCCCCATAACAAGCGGCGGCCACCGATCGCTAAATGTATAAAGGGAGCGCATATCCTGCTATTATCCCATACTCTCTTGAAACACCAGCGACCGTAATCTCACCATAAGAAGTCCGCTACTGCACTCTTCTCGTCACTAATAACCTTGCGAGGGGAGGGGCATTTAAAGGACCACTTGTACAGAAGCGCGAATTACGTCATACTAAGTCTTCTCCTGAACCACTAATCTCAAAGCCCTCACCATTTTAAACTTCGAAAGTCTGGGAAGAGGTCGGAATTGCCTTTGCAGTGTTGAGAAAATTTTTTTTCGTTTGTAGAGTTTTCGTCGTTCCTCCTGTTTATATGCACTACCCCCCCCCCCTTTTTTTTTCATTTGATCGCGAGACATGTCTCTCCACGGAAATCAGCGCGCTTTTCTTTCCTTTCTTAATTGCTCGATTTGTAACTGGATTATTCTCTACCTACCGAGAAGATATTCAGATGGGAAATGTCAGCATTTCTGAGCACCTTTCTGAGGTGATAGTGAAGGAATGAAGTGAATGTAGTAAAATGGTGCTGTCCCACTACTGGACCATTCGACCGCCGTATTGGCTCATATCTTCTCGGTCTGAACGCTCTGAATACCTGAAAAGTATACCCATAAAAGTGTAGGCCTGTCCACAGCTGTTTCATCTTTATTAACATGACAGACTGAGAATCGGAGTTTTCAAATATACCACAGAATAAAGTGAATCCTGACTTACCCATGACCGTTGCACTTTCTCTTTTGAAACAATTTACATGCAAAATAGATCCGCGACCAATCATCTGCAACATATATCTTCATGTTCGTTCTAAATTTTGCGTGAGACATAAAATTTCCCAGGAGGTCCAGATTAGGCTGCGTTCATACTTTGCGTCAATATACGTCGACGTACAACAGCCTTTTTTCAGTAAAAGGGTTAAGGGTCTTCAAAGCTTTGATCAAAAATATGGCTTTGATTCTTGGCGCTCTCTCCACAATTTGCACCAATGAGCACCAATCTGGCGCTAACCCTCTCCCTATGCACTGGAATCTACACAAATTGTCATGCCACTGCTGATTGATGTCCAGATTAGGCTGCGTTCATACTCTGCGTCAATATACGCCGACGTACAACAGCGTTTCGAGCAACTAGGGAAGTGTAGATATCGATTCAGCATACGCCAGCGTTTTCGCGAGAAGTTTTGCTTAATAGTCTGGGAAAGTGTAGGTATCGATCGCAATCATGCTAATTTGATACCTATTCCAAAAGCTGGTGCAGTAGCATAGTGATTAACAATGCTGCTAAAGAAAACAAGATCTTGAAAATAGACGAGGTTTTCCTGTTTCAGGTAAAAATTAGCTGTAAATTTAATGGCTCGAAGTACCAGGAAACCAATGCGTCTTCTATTCAACCGTTGTCCGCTGCACCGAATAAGCTCGGATGTTTCTCGATTCACCAGCAGACATACGTCAAGATCACTTCGGTCGAGATACTGGAGAATTTTCAACTGCAGCTCTCGTGGTAGACAATTCCATGGAAAAGGGTCCTGAAATATCGAGATATGTGCTCATAAAAAGGAGCTGGATAAAGTGAATTTAAAAAAAGAGGATCTGCAACTCAATTCCTGGAGTTGAGTCGTGGAATCGCAAGCGCGTGCTCTAGTATAATTAATGACGGAGACACTGGCACATGGAGCGGTAACACAATGAAGCAATGCCACGTTGAGTGGCTTGGGTCCTGGTGAGAATAAAATAAGCAGCGAGACGCAACACCGCTTGCAATGTCTCTCCGCACTCTATGCGACTAGGGAACAGTGCTAGATAACACTTTACTCCCATGTTAACGTTACGTTCTGTGAGAATGGACAACCTAGCCAACCACTGACGTTCCGAGACCAGTTTTGCCTTTCTCATTTGAGCCACTTACTGTAATAGAACGAGATTGCATCCGCACGAGCGATTCGGTAGCACGGTCAGCAGAAAGCGTCCACGGACCAAGACACGAAGCTCTGTTACAACATGATTACTTTAACTGTATGCTTTCGTTCACGCTTCAACGTCAGGGTTCAGGCTTGGAAATGAGAAGGGTGTTTGGTTTTGTAGTGAGATTGTATTTTTCCGAAAGAAACGTCAAAAATTGGGCTGCGATTTTCAACAATGGACGGTGCATAACCAAGATCTCGCGTCGCAGTTCTGGGCCATTTTTGGGAGTGCCTAGGTAGGAATGGATGAAGAGCAACTTGGATACAGCGTTTGTAAAACGACCTGTATATATAAGCCGCATGACTGTTGGCGAGTTTCTGACGGCGCTTCCGATTTCGTAAAAGACAACTAGCCGGCTTCGCCGCTGACACAGGCGCCTCGGTTGTGGATAAGCATCAGCACCGGCCTCCGTTGAGCGGGCGCTACTACCGTTCTTCCACATCATTCTTCATTTAGCCGCCTAATATCGAGGGCTTTCTCTTAGCGCGTGAACGCGGTGTCAACATTCTTTGACCAACAGCATCATACCTGCTACCTCCAACACTATTACGGTGTATGGAGTGGTGGTAAGGAGAACGTTGACCAAGTGGACAGATGATAGAAAAGCCGGGTATTCAGTCGGAGATTTGATTCATGACCGAAATCAGGTAGCGCGACGTGATACACCGCGCGCAGGAAGCCGGGGCCGTAATTCACGATGGAGGTCTCGAGTGCCTGAGTGCCTGGAACCGTTTATGCTGAAGACTTTTTAAGACTCGGCTCCACCCATTTTAAGACACACCCCGCCCACAACGTATGCCTGCGCTTCTCAACTAATAACCCCTTGCTGACCTTAAACTACTTTTTCCCGGTGTCTGGAGTGTTTTGGAACAGTTTTGCGAATTTTTTAAATTTGGCTCCACTCACCTTGGAGCACGCCCCGCGCCCTGAACGGAAGTGCCGTCGCACCTGCTTACTTTTGATCACTTGCGGGACCATTGAAATCCATCATCGTGGACACCACTGGGAGTGATTAGGCGCAAACTAGCGACCGTCAAGCACGCCGTAAACATGTTGTGGATCTCCTTTCCAACATTAAATCTTCGTCATGGAACCCGATCACTAAACCATTTCAGAGACGAGTTAACCTGACCTTTGTTGAAGCGCGGCTCCATTGCATAGGTACGCTCCCCGCCCATTCGGGTGTGTCTCCCTCCATTGGTGTGCCAACCCATTGCTAACCTTACTCCACTTTTTCCAGTCTCCGAGGCGCTTTGCAGCTAAGTTATGTGATTTTTCACTCGGGAAGCGCCGCCCACTCAAGTACGCTATTTCGAGTGTGTCGCCTCTGTGTTGTCGACAGGCCTTTGTTAACTTTACTGCACTGTTTCCTCATCTCGGGACTACTCTGGAACCTGAGTTATGACTTTTTTCAGTGACATCGCTAATTTTTTGACACACGCCCCCGCCCACTGTGGGAGCTATTAGCACCCATTGGTTATGGGTGCTTTAGGTTTTGTCCCCATGCTCGTACCCATCCCTGGCCATGAACCCGATCCCGACCTCTCCCAATTTCTTTCTCAGGTGACTGATGAATGGTTCGTGAGCAAACAGACAGGACGATAGAGCGAGGACAGACACACACAAACACAGCAGCACACATCACTACACACACACATGGCCGATTATATTAGTAAGATGTTGGACGTGGGTCCTCAATGGCATTCATGCAAAAGGTAGTTTTTAGCATTAGCAATAGCATTTTTTGTGAACAATTTACCCATCTTTGCTAAACTGCTCCGTAAACGATCCTCTGGAAGGGGTTATCAAGAACTCGGAAAAAAAATCTCTTTGAAACCTATTGCAAGGATGAAGGAATTTATTTAAAGTGGGGAAATGGGCTAGTTGGGAGGTGGCTGAGCAACATCAGTGGAAGACTTCGTGAAATAGCGCCTAATATTTGTTTTTGATTCGTGTCTTTCACTATTCTTTAAGCTCCTTGAACTCGTAGATAAAGTTACAACCAGATGAAATTAGAACCAAGATAGAAAAAAGAGGGGAGTTTCATTACTGTAGAGGAACTCGTTTGCATTTTTTTCGATACAGGTCATCGAAACCACTGGGGAACCACAACTGCGACAAATAGTCACCCACAACTGCAAGCAAGTAGTCACCCTTCCTGATGCTGGATATTTCGTCATGATCGGCGTAAACTGTGGGTGGTGGCAGCGTGGTGCAGTAACTGGCCGATGGTTAGGGGAACGTTTTTGTTTGATATGGTGAAGGTGTGTGACACCGGCCACAAGGTGCAGGCAATGTGTGAACGATGTTGTCAGTGACGACCCCCCCATAGTAAGGGGTCTCGGTACGGAACCCCTGCGCCCTCCCCCGAACGATCCTACCTACGACTTTCGAAAAGTTCCACGAATAGTGGAACGATTGATCTTAGAGGGCGCAAGTGGTTAACAAAAGGCGATTTAGGCTGTGAGCTCTGATGCATGTGATGGTCGACTACCGGGTTCACGAAGACCCGTATTCGAGCGGCGCTTTAAACACAAAAGAAGTCGGTCGTGGTAACCTGATTTTGCCAGAACGATAGTGCCTCGGTTGCGCCGGCTGTAACAAAAACGTGAACTATTTCAAGGTACAACCAGCTGTAGTGAGAAAAATCATCAGCCAATAAATACATAAAAGATGGGCAGCTGATTCAAAAGTAATGACTACAAAAGTGAAAAAAAAATTGGTGAAACTTGCCTGCACTAGAGGTAGTTGGTATCCTGGTCGATTGGAGAATAGCGACGTCGGTTTTCGGCGCTGGCGCCAATTGGCGGCCAAACGTTTGGGCGCCGTCGCGCCTTCCCAAAGCAAAATTCTGTGTAAGCTGTGCATAAGTGGGGGGTTTACTGGATGTATCTGTCTAGCGAGTGCCGAACTAGTTCTCTAGCCCCGCGCTCCATTTGGCTGCCATTATAGCCTGATCTGGGCGCTTATGGCGCCAAATGGCTGTCAGGGCTGAAAAGCGGCTTTTTATCAAATCAAGGAAAAATCTGTGCAGTGGGGACTGTGTTGATGCCCTGATCAAATATGACATTGTATTGTTGCGACACCGGGGAGCGCGGCAATTTAGGTGGCTGTTGTGGCGCGAAGGCTGAGCGCGTGCGGAGGAAGAGTGATTTCCTGTTTGGGTCAGTGCCAGCCTACCGGAGCCGCAAGATAACCGCGAGCGTCTTGCCCATTCAGCGCCAGCGGCAAAGAATTGAATGTGATATATGTTAAGTCAAGGATGTCAAGTACCCTCCGTACCGAATGTTTTGCAGCAGATTGGTGCTTAGAGCAATTTTTTTGGCGCCGGCGCCTGTGGCCGCGGGCGCCAGGCGTCCAAAGTTGGAATGTATCACATGTTCAGGTCGTAATGACCTCAGACCCCAACTTCCAGCTACTGTAAGTGTAGTTTTTTACCCTGAAGAAATAAAGTCGATCCCAAGATCCATGCTTGCTTTCGGAAAATCGGGGGGCGGGGCGTCGTTTTTTAAGATAAAGCGCGTCGAATGTGGTGTGATCAGTAGCTCAGCTATCGGCATGTATTCACCTCACGCGCGAGAATGTGTTTTGCGAGCCACTTGCGCCCCACTGAACAATCGTTATTGTCAAAAGTTCCCAGCTCAGCAAAAATTTCTACACTTTCCAGTTTTTCACCGAAAAAAAAAATTTTCCAGATGCGTGAGGGGGGGGAGGGGGGGGCGGGGGAAATAACACGTGAGACGGAGAAAAGATCACGCCAAAGGTCAAACAAGCGTGAAACCTTCTTCGCGCCCAACACGGCCAAATTCCTGCTGCACTCAAAGCGCATACGACCACCCCCCAANAACGACCAAATACGACCCTCCTCCTTCTGTATTTCACACAACAATGCTGTACCGTACACCTCACTGGTTACCGTACTGTCACGGTTGGCGCCAGCTACGCTTTATCTGGAGATGCCAGATCGGCACCAACACGTCGTTGCTGGGCGCGACTCAGTCGCGAAGAATAATGTGTTTTGTAGGAGAATTGTTAGTAAATGTGGAAGGCATAATAATTGTGCGATTCTACCCGCCAGATCATCGCGGAAAAAGTCTTTAAAGTAGATAGCCTCATGCTTATGGGAGTTATTGGACACCTACCTTTGATTGAGAGAGTGGAAGGTCGCACAGACCATCAATCGCCTCCATAGTGCTCGTGTGTGACTCGATCTCTGAAAATTTGAAGCTCGCGGTTAGAATTCGATCGATTTCTTCACTGTAAACAACTCGATTTTGTGTACTAAAAACTGTTGAAAGGCGACAGAGTAAGCGGTTTACACTTTGCTTCACAGATATACTCAGAGGAGCCAAGCTACGTAATACACTTGCACCCTCATACCGATTCAGCGTGACATGTTGTAATGATATGAAGTTCACATCAGGAACGTCATTCTCTCTTGGACGGATACGGGCGTAATGTACAGGGGGGCCAAAAAAAGTCATTTTGCCTCCATGACTTTCAAGGCGCTATAAGTTACACTTTATTAAATTTTTATCGGACATTTTTACTACCATATTAAAGAGCACATTAAATACTATAATGATACTCCGCCACAGCCTTCTGGAGGAGCGCCATCGAGAGATTCGGCCGCGCGAAAGTGAGTGGGTACCGGAGTTGAGCGAGATCGTTGATTTCTCCGCCACTGTAGACCACCCTGTTGAGCTCCGCCCGAACCGAGTAATTGAGGGGGTTTAGTTCAGGACCCCCGCTTAAATACTCCATCTTTTCCAGGTACTCAACGTTCTTCCATTCCAAGTAGGCGAAAGTTTTTCCAACGCCCTTCGATTAAATGTGTTGTCACCCAATCCTGTAGCAGTACAAAGTTTCCAAGAAGGTACGGGCGACGACATGAAGATGGGATATTCTCCTCGAGTTGCTCGATGTAGCCACCAGCGCACACCCTCAGTCTGGGGCCCACGAAGAAAATATCGGTTCATCCATTCCAGGTACGGCCGGTCCACACCATCAACCCGCGCCTTGGTGAATGGGGTGAAGATGATGTCCTGGACCGTAGCGACGTTGCCGGAGCTGCTCGGCTTGAGGTCTTGCAGATCAAGAGTACTGGTCTCCAGGTAGCTATCCATGGGTGATTCCATTCAAGAAGTTCCGCAGCTGTTTGGAGGCCACGTGAATTCCAAAGGCGTTCTCCACTCAGGCCGCGACTGGAGATGACTTCATATTTTGGTGTACATGAAGGTGAATGGCGGCAGCCGGCTCCTGCTTATAGAGGAAGATCTTGGTATCTTCCGCCCTGGTACTCATATCCACTTCCTCTGTCTGGGCTGCGAAAACTTCGCTCATATGTGACTCGGCCGGAATGACTTTTTTTTGGCCCCCCTGTATGTTACCACGCGAGGGTGTGGCGTGCGACACGCAGAAGTTCAGAGAGAAGATTCTGGCTACCTGGCCGTTTGAAAAGAGTGATAATGGGAGAATGACTGATCTCACTCGGCATGATCCTTGTTGAAAGTCAAAATTTGACTCAATGTGCAAGAAAACCCATCTGTTCTATGAAAAAAAAAAAAAAGTCTATTGCTTAATCCACCATCTACGTCCACGTTCAGACCGTAATAAATATGATGGATACGATATGGTTTACAGAATAATGGGATGCGTCAGAGGCGGCAGGATATCGATTTGCTGGCATAATTCGATCAGATTCGAACAATTCTAACAGTGAGGATGTCAGAAGGTTCTTACGATGTTCTCCACGATTTTTTTTGCTACTTTCTTCCTGATGGTGTTATAACTTTGTTCTTGGCAGCCTAACCACATATTGCAGTTGCGGTTTGTTTTTAGCAGAGCTACACCGAACGTAAGGGCAGAGTTACTGGGATTAGTGCGGGCCCCTAACTGTGGCTTATGGCTATCAGGGTACAGCATCGAAGAGTGAAGCACATGGGAGAAGGGAGGGGGGGAGGGAGGGGAGGGGCATCGTACTTGGCGGCTGGGGGATGGTTCGTATGTGCCTAAGAGGAGTTGGCCGAAAAATTTTTCTCCGTTGTTGACTTGTTATATATACCCCCCCTCTTCCACCCTGCCCCCTCTCCGACGGAAAGCAATTTTGGAAACAGTGGTAAGTGCTATTATCGCTTGATTTCTAGCCTCTAGAGCATTGGATGAGTAAGAAGAGAATGGGTACGGTTGGGGTATGCGCCGATATCGCTTTAACTTCATCAAATATTAGGTTTCCGGAAAGTTCTCAGCGTTTTGTGCACCTATTTTTTGTACATTCATTGCGTTAAAAACTCAGTTGCCTTGCCTTCTTCAGAAGCACATCCTGTAGAGAATTTCTTGCGCTATCTGATGGTATAATTGCCGTTTCACCATTGCTTGATAAACCCCTTTTTTCAAGATTTTTTCAAGCATGTGAAAAGAGCACTTCGGACGATTTTTTTCTTCGACTATAAATTGGGGCAATCCGCAATCGAAACAGCTCAACAAATTAACCAGGTGTGGGGCCCAATAGTGCTAGAGAAAGCACTGTGCGGCAATGGCTCAACAATTTCGTTCTGGATTTCAGCCTTTGAAGTGAAACCTTATAGCGGTGGACCTGAAAGACAATATCTTAAGAGGATTAGAGGCGATTTTGGAGGCTGACCCATCCCAAACAGTCCGAGAGATAGCAGAAAAGCTAAGACCTTGGCAAATCCACTGTTGCAGATGGTCTGGAACGCATTGGGAAGGTGAAAAAACTCGACAATTGGGTGCCCCACAATCGGAGTGACCGGCAGGAATCGGCACGTCTCGAGGTTCCTTCTTGCATTTGCTTTTTGAGCAGCAGAAACGACTCTTTTCCCAGGGCGAATTTCACCTGTGAGGGAAATGGGTCACGCTGTGATAACAGGAGACGTTTCCGCACAGTGACTGATTTGACGAAAAACCCGATAAAGAGTTGAATATAATTACAAAGACGAAAACGCTACACAGAAAAAAGATTCTCGGTCAACAAGACATTTGAGAATTAAAAAAAAAAAGATTAATTTAAAAAAAAAAAAAATAAAAAAATATAAGGAAAAATGAAGTAATGAATCAACACACTATAAATATATTATAATCAACCACCACATCAAGCAACAAACAATTACTAAGAGAAGAAAAAATCGAACAGAAATGTAAGAAATAAAATTTGATCAGACAAAAGCAGCACAACAACATAATAATACAAAAAAGAAAGGATCAGAATACCTAAAATATAGACCAATGAAACAAACAAGGCCAAGACCAACAAGATTAGCACCAACAAAGAAAGGGTCCGATTCCTTTGCATGACAACGCCCGCCCACACGTTTCACAAATCACTATCCATAAATTGAACGAATTGGGGGTTGAAGTTCTACCTCAACCGCCATATTCTTCAGACCTTTCGCCAACCGACTATCACCTTTTCTAACATTTTCAGAACTCCCTTGCTGGAAAATACTTCATCAATCAGGACCAGGCAAAAAAGCCTTCGTGGATTTCGTGAATTTCTCGACCACCCAGTTTTTTACTTTGATGGGATTTCTCGACTGCTGTCACATTGGCAAAAGTGTGCTGATTCGAATGGTGCCTATTTCGATTAAATCCGATGAGTATTAAAAAAGTTACGATCGTTTAAAGTGAAACACCCAAAACGCTGAGAACTTTCCGGACAACCTAATAAATGAAACTGGTCAACAGCTTACCAGTCACTTCCGGAGTTTTTCTTGTCATCCTTTTTCTTTCCTTCTTCTTGTACTTGGTTTTTGGTTCGAGAATGTTTCTGTGGCATTGGAATGAGTAGCAAGGAAAGGAAGGAACTGAAACCAAATAATAAAGAGTTACTAAGCATTTCAGTAGAGTAGAGGGGCTGTAGCAGCAGAAGAAACGTGGAAGTGGGATACATGGAATACTGCTGGCACCGGAATAACTGAGGGAGAGGGCTGGTGTAGCGAAGGTTCACAGTGCAATACAAAAGAGATGGCCACCTAGGCCCTGCAGGAGTAACGGAGCTCCGGATACACCAGAGCATCTCATGATCCGTTACCTACGGGGCCTTGCACACCTGCAGCCGTTCAAGAAACACGAATATATATAACAAGCTTGGCTGACGCGCACTACTGCGCGTATGGTTGAACCTATGGTAATGGTACTGCGCTGACAGGATTCCTGTATTGACCCCGAACACTTCGCCCGATTACAATTTTTTAGAATACGGCCTATTTCATTATGATTCTCCTATTTAATGAACGTTTGCTAATGTCTGGTGCTTATCACATTTCTAAGAAACACTCACCATCCGTTGGAAATAGGACAGCTTAGCGGTTGAAAGACTTTTGATGGTAATAACATCGATATCATGGTGATATATCCTCACATTTCTCACATCCTAGTACTTCCGTTGAGCAGCTTCCAGGGCTTTTAATTTTCGTCGAAACTCGAGAGCTTAGCGGTCGTAACCATATCGCTAAGGGATAGAATACTTGACTCACGAAGCCTCTAACCACTGTTCCTTGGGCACCGGTGCTGAAGTTTATCAGTTGGTGGGTGGGACGTGATAACAGTGATAACAGCTTATCAGCTTATCAGCTGTTATCACGTCCTGCCACCCACCAATAATGTTCCCATCCTGCCCCCTATCTAACTTCTTGGAACCCACATCCCGTCGTCGCTGTGGTCCGCGCTATGGAGCTGGTGACCCTTCCTTTTCAAAGCCCCTTGTGGTATCTTATCAGCTGTTATCACTTCCTGTCACCCACCAATAATGTTCCCATCCTGCCCCTATCTTTAAAGCTTGAAACCCAACGTCCCATCGCTGCTGTGGCCGGTGTTATGAATTAGGTAACTCACTCTTTTTCAAGGCTCCTCGTGGTATCTTATCAGCTGTTATCACTTCCTGTCACCCACCAATAATGTTCCCATCCTGCCCCTATCTAACTTCTTGAAACCAACGTCCCATCGCTGCTGTGGCCGGTGTTATGAATTAGGTAACTCACTCTCTTTTTGAGGCTCCTTAAGGTATCTTATCGGCTGTTATCACTTCCTGCCACCGACCAATAATGTTCCCATCCTGTCCTCTACCTTACTTCTTGGAACCAACGCTCTACCGCTGCTGTGACGCGCGTTGTGAATTTGGTGACCCTCACCTTCTAAGCTCCTTATGGTATCTTATCAACTGTTATCACTCCCTGCCACCGACCAATAATGTTCGTGCACGACCCCCTACATTACTTATCAGTTTGAGGGCTCTATCGCTCTCTTGAAGGAAGTTATGAATTTCCGGTCAAACACATCCAGACACACATCCATTTACAACTCACACACACACACACCAACACGACAAACTTAGGCGGATTAATATATAGTAGAATACTTTCGCTGGATAGGACAGTAGAATGTAGTACAGCTTCCCACGACTTGGATTTGTGTTGTGTGCCTACACATACTTACTATCCTTGAGGCGGAGTAGGCGTGGCATTAAAAGAATCACACAGACAGTGAGTTTACTCGTTGGAATATTTCACTCCGTGTAACTGCTCATTTCTGTGTTGGAGCAATATCATTCATTTGCAAGCTTCCAAAACTGAAAATATCCCAATCAAAAGTGCAGCCACGGTGTAACGTTTGGTTGAAGCACGCAGCCACGCCCACCACATATCTGGGAATTCGAGTGTAGGTATTCAGTAAATAAGGTTGGCAACAAAGCCGAAACTGGTGTAAGGCCCACATGCGTCCAAGGCTGTTCGCCCCAGTGGAGTAATGCAGCGGTAACTCACTAAGGATTCAACAAGCGTATGTGAGGATGGGAAGCAGAGGATGGGAAGCAGACAGCAAAAGGATCCAATGCCTCTGCATTATCAAGTGAGATAATTCAAAATGGTATTTATACCAGAGAGTATCGGAGGTATAAGGATCAATATTCGGTTACGAAATCAATGTGGCTGAGCGAGTTGAGGTTACGAGATCAGGGCGCGTGGTACCTTGAGGAATGCGCCCAACGCGGGAGCAGTCACGATTGGGCAGGAGAGAAGAGGAGAGGAGGGCAAAAATTTCGCAGAGTGGCGAATTTTCTCGTTCCAGGCGCGCTCCATGCATAACTCCCAAGTTGGAAGCGCCGCAAGACTATTTTTCTGACAGTTTCTCGGGGGTCTTTCCCCTAACCATAAAGTTCCCAAAAAAAAAATCGTTGAGAGCTGAGAGGGCTATAGAGCGGGCCGCCGGTCGCGTAACAGGGGACGCAATCGTAACGAAAAGCGGAAGATAAGGGTTCGGATCCTGCCCGTGGTCAGACTTTTGCCCACACTCAGCACTTGTTGTGATAACTTTCGGATCGCGCACCGCGTCGTTAAACAGCAGTTATCAAACAGCTGTTGAGAGCGCTACTGGTGGTAGGATCGTAGTAAAGGAGGAAATTTGGGGGGGGGGGATGACGTCAAAAACAACCTCCAAAGGCAGGTGGTGTCCTGGTCGAGATAGCGGACAAAGGGTGGAACTCCGAATCTGTAAACGTTGAAAACAGAACCAGAACTTCCAGCGGCCTTACGATAACGACGCACAGGTCGATTCGCTAATATGGATGACACCATGCGATGGATAGCGTTCATGCTTCGCTTCTCGAGCGACTGAATCGCTCTGTTCGAATCACGAACGTATTCTATCGCAGGCTACCACATCAGTCAAAATTTCATCCTCAGGTACGACCTTCTTCCTCATCTCCCATTCTATGTAGCGTCACTCTCAATTTTGTCAGCTTCCCACCAGCTTCTCCCCAAAAGCTGCAGAGAAGGCTATATAGCGGATGAACGAAAAACCGAGAAAATTAAACAAAGGAAAAAATTTCCCCCAGAGGCGAGCAAGCCCCGGCGGCGAAACACTGGCTCCTTGTTGGATCCCTAACAGCGGCGTGCTATGTTGAATTTGGAGCAACTAGAAATTTAAGAGTTGATGCTCGTTATCTGCTCAGAATCCAAAATATAGACAGTGGGCTTACGCCGCAGTCGATTAGTAAGAAGCGCCGCTTATCCTCTGCTCTCGTGGATTTGCTGGTTTGAGCGACTGAAAAGCAGTTACACAGGACGGAGTCTCACATGCTTTTCGTCAGAAGGAAAAACTCGTTGAGACCTCCATCTCCTCGATCGTTTGCTCATCCATTTTCACAGTGCACACAACAGAAAAATAGGTCCCATTTGCGTGTTTCCCGTCTCGCCCTATTTTTTTGCCATACACGCACCACTGATAGTGGGTTCCTTTGCTTTCTTTCTTGAGGGCCAACTAAATTGTCGTGCCCACGTTTTTGATGCATTAGAAAAGAATGTAAAAATGATGAGTGAAGTAGCTTATGAACGCATCTTCCACGATGATCATTTGGGGTACATGCTCTTGAAGATGTCATCTTGAGAGGAGCCTATCAGCGTGCCCTCATCGCTGTTCGGCTCTTCTCAAGATGGCAGGGAGGGCTGTCAGTTACAAAACGCGCTGATGTGGTAATCTAGACGAGTTGTTCGCCTTGAACGTGTTACCGTGTCATCTGTCACAACACACAAGTGGTAAAGTGATTGCGCTACATGATCCCCTACCTTTGTAACGCCTCCTTCGTCGCAAAAAGGATATCTAGAACCACATTCGGGTATCGACTATGGGCATTGTTACCACCCTCATTACATGTAAAATAGTACCTGGCTATATGCCAGCAGATTCGCTCATCTTCCAGTCATAATGATCCGGTCATCTCGTAAAGGAAGAAAGTAGAAGAAAGTGGAACCATCACGAGTCCAAAGTCCGCCACGCGTTCGAAAATGGTGGGCTGTGCGGCTCAAATCTTAGCGACGAGGGGGGGGGGCTGGCGGGTGAAGAGAAACAGCAGAACAAAAAAACTTGCGCGGAAGTGCCCTTTATAATAATCCACGATGGAACTCGCTTGTACTTGCATAAGGCGAAGAAAGGGATGGTCGGACAGGTTATCATTTGTTGGTACTGGCACCTTCTCCCTATCATCTCGTTATCCCATTCGTAATGAAGATAGTGGCTAAACAACCGCCCCACCAAAAACTTTGAGGGATGAAAGCTGGGCGTTGCCGTGGTTAGTGGGCGTGGCTTCTTTGCGAGGGGTCGCGCTTTCCACACGTATCTTTGAGCTGCGAAATTAGTGCATCCCCGCGCTTTGAGGACTAATTACAACGTCCAAGAAAGACGTCTGAAGAACGTCATCTAGGAACGGAAGAGGAGGAGTGCACCTCTGACAGCCGAAGAGTATTTGTTTTCTTGGGATAAAAAAGAAAAATTAAGGAAAACAACTTAGAAGCTTCAATATTCATTGAATGAACACAGACAAAACACAATATTGAGCATACAAACCATACGGCTTAATATCTTAATGGAGAAATGAGGCCATGAGAATGTACAGCAACTTTACCGACCCAACTGAGGCAAATACAGTCCTCATCATTGCAGACCGGAGGGCGGTGCTTGGGACTTCGGCTGTGACGGCGGGCAGCGATGGAACGGTCCGCGTCAGCAACGCGAGTCACAGGACGCACCGCCCCACCGGTCTGCAATGATGAGCACTATACATCCCATAAACAAAAAGTGGCGTGGTCAACGAGCGGCGACCACACAATAATAAACAAAAAGTGAAGTCCTATGTGGAATTACTAACACTTCTTCTACGATGTGCCCTTAATAAAAACTGTTTCCCACATAAAATGGACTCAGGCAGGACCTTGCTGGTCAGCTGGCTTGGTCTCTCTGCCTCCGATACTTTTGCTAGGAAAACGACACGATGACCTTTCACCACTACTTTCAGATGCGCAGTTTCCACATATGGCCCTTGGTCGAGAAGAAAATTGGTGTCAATTATTCCACGAATGACCTTTTGTTCATCATGTATTAAGACGCTGAAATATTGGTTCACCTGCTGACAGTTTCAGCAAGCAGGAAGAAAAGGAAAGGAAAAGAAGAAAGAAAAGGAAAGATGAACTAACCTCGATAAATGACTTTAGACCATCGACAGTAATCAGGTTCGGAGCACTGATAAGGAATTCAGAAGCAGTGATATGTTCAAGAATATGGTCATCTATTGGAACAATACCAGTATCGTGTACAGCAAAACGTTCTCTCGTCACAAGGAATTGTAAAATCTCTAAGGTAACCTTTTCACGAAAGCTTTCCGAAATTTGACACAGTTCGATTCCAGATGGAGCGATGGAGCGAAGAAAGCGAAAAAGCGAAGAATTTGCCAGATTGCTTGTCGATGTTTGACTGATGGACAGTGTTTGTACTCGACAGCCCGCATGTACCAGGCAGGAACTGATCGGTGAAAGGAAATCGCTCGTCAGGCTTACCTATAAACAGTACAATTTCCTGCGATTCTGAGACCAAGAACCTTTGATGATTTGCTTTTAACTGGGTTGATCCCATCTTACCCTTGGAAATCCTAATACCTGAATGTAGCCACAAAGTTCAAAAGCCCATACTCTGCGGCAGTGTCCACTAGCGTACAGGAGTAGAGACTATGGAGCGATAGGAAGGTGCCATTCTCTCCACTCGTGGACACTACTGGTACTGGTGGACGCTAGTAGACGCTGCTAGTCGTTAGATCGAAAGCTGTGCTTCCCTAGCCCTTGAGACGCTGCTGATTGTTGCCGGACGCTCGGAACGCTGGTGGTCGCCTGCCGCAAAGTATGAACGCAGCCTTATGACATGGCAACTCTTGGTAATAGCGACACAAATATTATTTTGCGGGTGTACAGTGACTTGAAGGCACATTCCGCGTTCAACAATTGTTGTTGCTGGGCAGCTGGAACAAAAGGGTAGATAGTACAAAAGTGAAGAAAAAAAGCAAAAGAACCCTCCCATAGTGCTGTGGAAGCCCATGCTGAACCGCGCTCGCATAAGACGAAGAAAGGGCGTGGTGGGATGAGTTCTCACTCGCTGCTGTCGGCTCTTTTTCCTTACTACCTCACTCTCACCATACGAAATGGAGAGAGTTGGTAGAGGAACAACTGCACCTACCTGGAATCTTTCAGACACCCAGGCGTTTGGGCGTTGTCGTAGCCATTGGGCGGGGTCGTGGCCTCGTTGCGATCAGACCCTCACGCATCTTTGAGAGAAAGTATACATCCTGCATGCTTCCGGACAAGGCTACCTTATTCGAAGAACATGTCTGCCCTATTAAAGGCAGTTGGCACGATAAATCGCTATACAGGTGTAGGATTTGTACAACTGGCTCAACAGAATTCCGTGACCTCGGACAGGCGCTGCGTGAAACCTTTTCCAAGGAGGGTACCTCTATAACGCCCTATTGAGCAACAACTTTACGTCCCAAACGCCTTCCTTGCCCGCCCGCCCACAAACGGACGACCGTTTCTGACGCTCGTATTCATTCATTTGCTGAGCAAATTATGAAGCAAAGGGATTGGTATGAAGCGGCGGTGATGCTGCATGCATATATGGGTACACATATGCAGCCGTACCTTCGGTAGCGGTGATTGGCAAGGTGCGTACGGGAAACTCGTCCGAAATCGATTTACAAGTCACTGAGAACGGACTTTTTCTTCGCCGGATTTTGACCGTTTCACTCCGTTCTTTCGCCATTTCCCCACTATACAGCGCCCTACTAGCATTTTAGGCTAAGTAGGAAACCATCGTGCCAACTGCCTTTAAGGAAAAACGAGGCGTGCCTTTAACACGGATTCAACAGAGGTGTAATAAATCAGAACAACCTGAATAAGGCCCTTCATTATGCATCGATTTCAGTATCTGACGATTTTCAGTATATATGTGGTGTTGGGCGGACGTACTTACCAAATAACCGCACGCAGCAAGCGTCTTTGCAATTTAGTGGGCAAAAGTGGCAAATCCTATGCGGCTGAACACCTATACAGAGAAACCGACAATCGCGAAAGATGCTCTGAAAAAATCCTTTGATACTTCCTAGAGTTACAAATACCTACCTCTTCGAGTTGTAGGCGACGAATGTTGGCATTTCTGAACACCTTTGAAAGGTAACTGTAAAGGGAAAAGCATTCAAAAAAGGGAGACCGGCCGTCGTCTTGAATACTCGCCATTCGTTTCCTTTTCAATGTTCTTGATTTCTTGAATTCCTAGAAAGAGGAATGATAAATCGTTGACAATAATAATGCCTACCGCGAAACTTTTCTGATGGTTTACTTCTCATGACAGAATAAAGACGTAACAAATTAACTTTCAAAACCACTTAGGAAGTGAGTGGTGAAGGTTTGCTAACCAAGCATCGATTTATTCCCTCTTCGGAACACACCACGTGCAATTGAAATTCGCTCCTAATATCCTGCAAGTTGAATTTTCGAATGATTCCCCTTGCAAAGTAGTAGAAGTGGAAAACAATAATGCTGTATATAAAATATTTTCTTGAAAATGGGCAAAATAAAGATGAGAAATGACTAGGAAGACTGATGAAAAAAATATTTCAGCAGAACTACTCTAGTGACCAGTTTATCCAAAAGTCGCCTCTTCATCAGTCGCTCATGAGACCGGATAAGTTCGAACATTTCCCGATTCACAAGCAGACATCTGTCGAGCTCACTTCGGCAGAGATTCTGCAGAATTTTCACTCGCAACTCTCGTGGAAGTCGACTCCATGGAAATTGTCCCTAAAAATGATTGTTCTGCTCGAATGAATGGTCCAGACCGAGCTTGCAAGTGAAGTAAGGAACTCTAGCAACGGCTAAATAAAGTGATGCTCAACTCAGACTGTACTTCTGGGGTACTGTAAGCCATCACGAGGGCAAAGGAGTGACTGCTATCTGTCATAGCAACGACGGCAATACTGGGCTTGCGTTCTGAAAACCAGTCATATTGTCAAGTCACAGACCGAATTGTGCACGGCCTTAGCCTTGCTCAATATTTTCGTGCAGCTGGGTTCAAGTTTTGGCTACTACTTTGAGCGCCTAGAGTTTAGAGAGTGCACCCAAAACGCTGTATCAACGCCTATACTTCCCTAGGCGCACAGAGCGCTGAGTATGAAGTATGAAGGCACTCTCACGCTCACTGCATCGGTTACTTTGGATTGATAGGTATACTT